AGACCAGTGGTCCTCTACGGCCACGAGACCTGAACTATGCTCGTGGAGGACCAACGCGCCCTTGGTGTTTTCGAACGGAAGGTGTTGCGTACCATCTACGGTGGAGTGCAGATGGATGATGGAATGTGGAGGAGGCGAATGAACCACGAATTGCACCAGCTGCTGGGAGAACCATCCATCGTTCACATTGCAAAAATTGGGCGACTACGGTGGGCTGAGCACGTCGCAAGAATGCCACACGACGATCCAGTGAAAATGGTTCTAGAAAGTGACCCAACAGGAACAAGAAGAAGAGGCGCGCAGCGAGCAAGGTGGATCGACCAAGTAGAAGGTGACCTGCGGACCCTTCGCAGACTACGAGGCTGGTGAACTGTGGCCATGGATCGAGTAGAGTGGAGACGACTTCTTCGGACAGCAGAGGACAACAAGGCCTTAGCCTTACATTGACGATACTACGGTGATGGGCTTTCTGGAAATCGTATGGCTTTTTTTTTCCTGATTTGTTTTTCCGTCGTTTTTGTTTCCCTACCTATCGACCCATCATGAATCGGGGACCAACGGCTTTACTTCTCATCCGAAGAAAGGCGTGATCAGAGATGTTATGCCTTAGAACATCCCAGCAGCGCCGACTGGGATTGAATCCAGGCCTACTGGGGTGAGAAGTAATCACACTTACCACTACACCACCGGCGCCGCTTATCGTATGGCACTTATGATTATAGTTTTACGATGTTTTTCTTATAGTGAACATGGATTCCCGGCTATGTAACTTCTTTGAAGTTTTCTTGCATTGCTTTTGACACGTAGACATATTTCTGATCGATAAGTGATACAATTATTGAAGTTGGTTCAGGGGCAGCTGAGTTATTAATGTTCAAAATCTTTCATAATTTTGTAACATGTTCCATTTTCTGTTTTCACAAAGTGTACCCCCATATAGAAATCACAGACGTAGTCCTACGTCAAAAAATGCTGGAGAAGCAATTTTTTATCTCTTACCATTATACTGATTTTTAGAGTTAGGTGCACGCTTCCTGATCCCAAAGTCTTTGGTTCGAATCCCGGTTTCAACTTTTTTCTTCGAATGTTCATAAGAGAATCGTATGAAAATTGGAAGAATATAGTGTGGCTTAATCCATACGACATTGGTTTGAATTCCTTTAAATTTATTCCCTTAGTGTACTACTAGTTCGCAAACTCTGACATTATTTATTTGGTAAAGAGTTTGGTTATCAAAATGATGATGAATGTTTTTTAATAGCAGCGGTGAAATGTCTTATTGTTAAATATTTTGAATCATATTTATGTTTAATAGAATAATGTTGTGGCGTGATAGTTACTCACAGCCATTTAAAAAATACATAACCTCATATTTCATTATTTTCCCCAAAACTTCGTTAAATAGATAATTTCTTAGCATCAAGTTCCAAGAAGGAAAACCTTTCAACGTGCGTCTCCATTCAGAGGTACTAATTAAATAATAATACCAGCCTAGTCGTAAAGCTCACCTTAATCGTCAAGGAGAAACCATCCAACAGGAGCAGAAAGATAAACATGAATTAATAAAATGATCAGAGCACGTGCCGTTTCTTCCCGAAATCCGTTCATAAAATTCCTCCACAAGTTGAAATAACACAACCAGGAACAAAAACCGTACTAGCCAGCCGCCGTATGTTGTTCGAAAAATTCTTATTGCTGTCGATTTAACCTTCGCCTGCAACACGCCCCTCCGTCAAATTCCGTCCAACAGCAGCAGCCGCAATGGCAAAAATCGCATGTCTCCTGCATGTTTCTAACCGGCTGCTGGCTGCCTTGCAGGTTATGGTGTTTACGTAACAGTTTTGACCGGCTTAAAACCTTCGCTCTTTATTATCGTCGTGTCTACGCCCTCTTGGCCGCCAAAGATCAGACGTTTTCCCACTTCTGCTGGAGCGGACAGGCAGGCGAGCAGCAAATGACCGATCTTCATCAAAAATTAAACCCTTACATAGCAGCGTTTTCTGCTTCTTCCGACTTCCAACACGAGACTCCACCAAATCCTCTTTGCTCTTATCCCCATAAGGACTGATTTGCTATTCCGTTTTATGGGAAATTGAAATCGAGAGGGATTCCTTATGGTTTTGGTTGGTTTCGCAGTGTAGGAAGCCAACGAACGCGGGCTCGGCAGTGGACAACCGAAGAAGGGAAAAGCACAAATCGTACAATTTATTGAAGTGGACCAAAGTCCTGGTGGCAGCAGTTGAGAGGATTCACTTTAAGGGGCAATTTTCCGATGGTATGAGAGATGGGATGATTGCGGCGGGTGGACGGGAGGATGCTGACTTAAGGCTTGGGCAGGGAAAAGAAGCAGTAGTAAGCAAGGTGGTTGCAAATGCCGGAACGAGAAGTATGATGTGAAAATCCAATGAAAGTGAGATTCCGGAGTGTGGGTGGAGTGGCAGAGGCAACACGGGATACGAGGTGATGTAATGGGAAGCGACCAGGCATGGTTTCGATTTTTGTGCATCCTCTCGGGTCGAAAGGCGAGTGTGCGCCAAACGGAGCAATGTTTTCACAGTAGAGGCTGGTAAATTGGTACGAAATTCACGGGAGATGCGAATGATGAAAAAAGAGAGCGAACGGGAGAATAGTGTGGAATGTTTCTCTGAGAGGCTATCTTGTTTTGCTTTCTCGGTTCTATGTTTATGTTTCGGAAAGGTATGTCTAGTGCAAGTGCGAGGGGGATGAGGCGACGAATTGGCTCAAAACAAAGAGTGTCAACGAGAGAGAACTCTCACGGAGAGAACATTTTTAAGGGGAAATGACCGAGTTCGGCTCTGTGCTTTCCATCTCTGATATAGCTGGTGGTCTCCCTCGCACTAAAGCGTTTCCAACGGTTCAGGAATGTTTCTTATGAAATTAACATAATTCATTCATACAATTTCTCTTGCTTGGTTTTGGCATAACTGCGTTCGCATTCGATGAATATGTATTGGTTAACATATGTGTCTAATATGTTATTTGCATTTCTACTCTTTGCTCGAGCGTTCAGTGTTTCCTGATCTGGTTTTAATTTTTATACTTTTTCCTATCACCCGTTGCACTAAAATCTATTAGACTAATAGATCGTTCCTTCCTGCTGCGACGAGAATGACATATGGCAGCATAGTTCGTCCCGTTAAGTCAGGCATGTACCAAACTTCGAACTACTCGGAACATAAATAACCTACATACTCATGGGTTGGAATGAGGAGATGAAATTCGTTGTCCTTTCCCTTATAGGAAAACATGTGTCTCCTATAGTTTTTTTTTTGTTTTTGTGAATTGCATTTTGCCGACCCAAGACCAAGAACAAACATTATCTGCTTCAATGAGTCGGAACAAGGTCCGACCCCCGGTCGGTCGGTTTGCCGTTTAGTAATGATGCGTTAATTGTTGTTGGTATGCAGCAAACAGTTCCGCAGTTTGGTCTGATGTGGTGTGTGGTACTAATTTTTTGAACCATTAGTTCGATTAGCTCAGGAGGGTGTCGTCGATGAATTGAAGACTGTCCGCGGTGTTATCAGTCGTGAGCAAACTAATGATCTCGGGAACCATGCTTCAGTAATCAATCATACAGATATGGTTTTCACAATGGATAAAGTTATTCCAATTAATTCCAATTGTTTGCTCAGCGCCTTGAACTCGCGTTTATCGCTGGGTTTCCCCATACCATTTTTAAACATATTAAATCCATCGATCTTGCATGTCGGAAAAAATTCACCAGACGGTTAGGTTCCTCTGATTGGCTCAATTAAAAAGGGGTCAAACCGTCGAAGACCAATACGTGCTCGTCACGGTGGTGACCGGTTTAAATGGTTCCTCTGGGGGAGGTACGCAGGGAAAAAACCTACGAAACTTCAATCACACGCAGTATAAAAGTGACAGCTCAATAGACGATGATTTTCATCAATAAAAAAGTATTAAAGTTCAACAACTCTTTGCTGCGATCCGCGACTCCCTCGGGCGTGCATGACAAGACGAGACGCGTGCTTGGTAAAGTGTCTCTTCCTCGCAGTCGCACGATCCCGGTCTCGATCACACTTGCGGAGGTGGGTGAGGAAACTTAAGTTTTCTGGCACTGGTGCCAGGGTCGACGTGAGAATTAATTGATTTTTATCGTCATATTTTTCGAGCTGGAGTAAACAAGGGAACGAAGACTCCTGCGGGGTGGTTAGGAGGAAGGTATGATTTCCAGCGAAACAAACTCAAACAGAAAATTATACGACCAAGAGCGTGACATTTATGTGTAATTATGATTCCAAATCACGATTCTAAAATTATCGAAACATATACATCGCATCGGAACGCGAGGAACGACCGTCCGACCTAGTCGGCCTTAGCAGAGTGAACCTAGAGAGTAGGTACCGTGTGTGTTTGTGCAAACTAGAACTCTGTCGTGGCCGCGACAAACATCAGGACTCTCGATCCAGACCGAGCGATATCATATTCTCAAACAAAAACTGATTTGCATAAATACATAATATTTATGGCGTTCATACAGACTGGCCGTACCGAGCTCCGAGGTCCATACGGTGCTGCACTCTCATGGGACCAGCGAGCAGCACATGGCATCGCAGCAACGAGAGCATATTAAGGCAAACAAGAAGGGAAAAAGAACGACCGAGACCAAACTGCATGCGATATAGTTTTCCATCATTTACTTGCTTCAACCTACCTACTCTACTCGCTGAACGTGTGCACGAATGCTTACAGAGCCTAGCGCTCCCCGGTTGACAAATGCCTTCCGATACTTCGCAGAAGTGGTTTCGTTTGCCACACGAAAGAGCCATCAGGTGCTGCCTCCAACCGAACCGGTGGCCCTTCAACCAACTACTCTCCGAACGCAAAACCGGACCCGAGGCAACCCGATCGCCCGCACCCGAAGCGAATTCTTTCATTATATGCTCTTTCGCACACGGCTTGTGGAGTTGTTCCAACTTCAGTTCCATACAACCAGTGCCAATTCAGTTCGAGTCGGATCGTCGCGCAGAATAGACGCACATTGCACATCGTCTCCGTACGGGTGTGAACTTCCTAAGAATAACGAGAAGCGTTCTCTCCCAACAACGGCGAAGCAAGTTCTTTAATTGCGGTAGATGTGTGTAAAGTAGAGTGAAGAAACGGGCCTCAGCACGAGCAAAGTACCATTTTGATGCGAAGAGAAAAAGCGCAGCAGCAGATACCAAGAAACGACGAATGGTGTGTGGTGGCGTAGAAGGCGAAGAATAACATGAAAATTATAACAACCTCTTGCTCCAACGGAGTCGTGTGAAATGAACTGAATAATAAAGGCTGAAGAGAGCAGAAAAATATTAATGTCTCGAATGAAGAGCAACCGAAGAAAAAAAAAGCAGTGAATAATATTGGAGAAAAATGAAATAACAGTGCAGCGATAGTTCGGTGAAATATTTGAAAATCGTGCTCAATTTTATTGGCCAAGATTTTTGTGTTCCGTCATTTTGGTTCATTCGGTTCCGTTTCCGTGTTCTGTTGCTTCCAGAAGGCTGATTTTGGAAGAGAAGAAAAAATCGATAACACAACAACTGGAGCACGGCAGCAGCAGTGGCATCAACGGATCCCGTGTAAATGTGACGAGGAAGAGAAGCAAAGTTCAAAATGTTTAATTTATGATATTGAAGAAACGTAGTTCTAGAGAGCATAACGCGTAAGAAGATCCCTTAGAAGAATAGTGGAAGAGTCTCCAGTAGTTAATCCTCGAAAGTGGAAAAATGGAATGCCACAGGACTTTGGCAGTGGTGTACTCACTGCTGTTGGCGTTCTCGGCAACGTTTGGCTCACAGTGCAACTGGGAATATGAAAAGTCCAGCGTGACATGCCGACTCCGGACACTCGAGCGCACTGGCCTGGACCTGCAAGGAGCCGAAGGCACCTCTCGGCTCGATATTCAGTGTAGTGAGCTAATTCTGTTCGAAAGTCAATTATCGCAAAATGCATTTTTGCGGCTGTCGAGCCTAGGTGAACTGAAAATTGAATCGTGCAAGTTGCTACAGCTTCCGGAAGGCGCCTTCGAAGGGCTGTTGGCTCTGAAGAAACTAAGTGTCAATACCAGAAACTATGAGTGGGGTGCCGGTAAAGTGTTGGAGCTTCAAGCCTCCTCGATGAAAGGACTGAAAGAACTACAAACTCTGGACTTGAGTGATAACAATGTCCGTGCCCTACCGGACGGTTTCTTGTGCCCGCTTACCAATTTGAAAGTGCTTAATTTGACGAACAATCGAATTCGTTCGACCGAGAGTCTAGGACTGGCGGGAAAAACCTGCGGTGGTGGATCGGAGATTCAAACACTGAACCTGAGCTACAATGAAATTATGCGGATCCCGGAAAACTGGGGCGTGTCCCGATTACGACGGTTGCAGCACCTCAACTTGGAGTACAACAACATTTCCGAACTGCATGGCGAAGCACTGGCGGGATTAAGCTCCTTGAGGACGCTCAATTTAAGTTACAATCATTTGGAAACCCTACCAGCTGGTCTGCTAGCAGGTTCCCGTGAACTGCGAGAAATCCACCTACAAGGCAATCAACTTTACGAGCTTCCTCGGGGGTTGTTTCATCGTTTGGAACAGTTGTTGGTTCTGGACCTATCCCGGAACCAACTTTCCTCGCACCATGTCGATAATGGTACGTTCTCCGGATTAATTCGCCTGGTGGTTCTGAACCTTGCTCATAATGCACTCACTCGCATCGATTCCAAAACGTTTAAAGAGCTGTATTTCCTGCAGATCTTGGATCTTCGCAACAACTCGATCGGCTATATCGAGGACAATGCTTTCCTGCCATTGTACAATTTACACACGCTCAATCTGGCCGAAAATCGGCTGCACACGCTCGACGATCGGCTTTTTAATGGACTATATGTGCTTTCAAAGTTAACCCTGAACAATAATCTCATCAGCATAGTGGAGCGTAATGTATTTAAGAATTGCTCCGATCTAAAAGAGTTGGATCTAAGCTCGAACCAGCTTACAGAAGTGCCACACGCTATTCGCGATTTATCCGTTCTGCGTGCACTGGATTTGGGCGAAAATCAAATTAACTATATTGAAAATGGAACATTCACCAACTTGAACCAACTAACTGGACTTCGCATGATCGATAATCAGATTGAAAATATTACCATTGGCATGTTCACGGATTTGCCCCGGCTCAGTGTGCTGAATCTGGCGAAAAACCGTGTACAGAACATTGAGCGTGGTTCGTTCGATAAAAATCTGGACATTGAAGCGATACGGTTGGATGGAAATTTCCTGACCGATATAAACGGCATTTTCGCTACGCTTTCGTCGTTGCTGTGGTTAAACCTGGCGGAAAATCACCTGGTGTGGTTTGATTATGCATTTATCCCGAGCAATCTCAAGTGGTTGGACATCCATGGTAATTATATCGAGTCGCTGGGTAATTACTATAAGCTCCAGGAAGAAATCAAAGTGAAAACACTGGACGCAAGCCACAACCGACTGACCGATATTGGCCCGATGAACGTACCCAACAGCGTCGAGCTGCTATTTGTCAATGATAACCACATTAGCACCATCCACGCGAACACCTTCATCGATAAAATTAATTTGGCGCGCGTTGATCTGTACGCTAATTCGCTGAAAAAGCTGCAGCTGCATCAGCTGCGCGTCGCACCGCAACCGATCGATAAACCACTGCCGGAATTCTATCTCGGGGGAAACCCATTCGAGTGCGATTGCTCCATGGAGTGGATGCAGCGGGTAAACAATTTGACAGCTCGTCAGCATCCAAAAATCATGGACCTACCGAATGTGGAGTGCATCATGCCCCATGCCCGCGGATCTCCGATTAGGCCGATCGTTTCACTTAAGCCGAAAGACTTCCTGTGTAAATACGAAACCCACTGTTTCGCCCTGTGCCATTGCTGTGATTTCGACGCGTGTGACTGTGAGATGACCTGTCCAAGCAATTGTACGTGCTATCATGATCAAACCTGGGGAACGAACGTGGTCGATTGTGGTAACCAGCGAGCAACACTTTCCAAACCGGTTCCGATGGACGCTACCGAAGTGTATATGGACGGTAACGACTATCCGGAGCTGCAAAACCATGCCTTTATCGGACGCAAGAATCTGAAAGTGCTGTTTGCCAATGCGAGCAAGATTATCACTATTCAAAATCGTACATTCGCTGGCCTCACTGCGCTGCAGGTGCTCCATCTGGAAGATAACGCAATCCAAAAGATTCACGGTTATGAGTTTGAAAATCTCGGTCTACTGAAGGAGCTCTATCTGCAGAATAACATGATCTCAGTGATCTCCAACAACTCATTCGCACCGTTGTACTCACTGCAGGTGCTGCGTATCGATGGCAACCGGTTAACCACGATTCCGATGGCACAGCTTCAGGCATCACAGCTGCAAAGTTTGCAGGCCCTCTCGCTCGGACGTAATTACTGGAGTTGCCGGTGCCGGTTCATGCAAGAACTCACCTCGTTTGTCGCCGACAATGCCGTAATTATCCAAGATATGCAGGACATCTATTGCGTGGACGATGGAATCCATCGTGATCTGGATTTTAACGTGACGGCCACTTGCAGTGATTACTATGCTGGAAGCTCGGTCCTACCGGATCGATTATCGGAGACGTACATTTTCCTACTGGCTGCGGCGCTAATCATTGCCTGTTTGTTGGTGTTTGTGTTGATAATGTTTATTTTTCGCGAACCGTTAAGATTCTGGCTGTTCTCACGGTATGGAGTGCGAGTGTTTGGTCCGCGATGTGAAGATTCGGAGAAACTTTACGATGCCATATTTATCTATTCTGCCAAGGATGCCGAATACGTTGCTAGGAACATTGCAGCTGAGTTGGAAAATGGGCGACCTCCGTTAAGACTATGCTTGCAGCATCGAGATCTATCGGAGGACGCATCGCACTTGCAACTTTTGGAAGCGTCGCGTGCGTCACGTAGGATAGTAATGCTACTGTCTCGTAATTTCCTGCAAACCGAGTGGAGTCGGTGTGAGTTGCGACGGGCGGTTCATGATGCACTGAGAGGAAGACCTCACAAACTTGTGGTGCTCGAAGAAGTTGGCGTGATTCTGGAAGCGGAAAACGACGTCGAACTAGTTCCTTACCTTAAAACTACCACTGTAAATAGAATAAAACGAAGTGATCGGCATTTTTGGGAAAAGCTTCGGTATGCCCTTCCGGTGGATGAGCCATACCGGGGCAACAATTACACCATCGATCATCACGAGCGGGTGAAGCAAACTGCCAGTGCTGGAGTTATGTTCCGGCAAGCACCGCCAGCCTACTGTCCGGAAATCGACGAAGCCAACTACTCGTCGGCGACAACGGCAACACCTAGTCCACGGCCATCGCGCCGAGGTATGGTGGAGCTCCCACAGCGGCCACCAAGTGAACATATCTACTCCAGCATCGATTCCGATTACAGCACGCTGGAGTGCGAAAACATGGTTCCTGGAGTGCACCGGCCAGCGACGTGGCGACCCGGTGGTGCAGGCGCAAATAGCATGGGTGTCATATCCGGGCAAAATACCGTCCCCCATGGGCATCACGTGCAGGCGTATCTCGTCTAGGGGCGGCTCAAATCGTCTCATAAGATGACGACAAGAGCTCGAAAAAGAAATAGTCAAGTGATGTAATAGTGTGTGAGTGTACATATATTCGTAGTTGTACTATACTAGAGCGCTATGATGAAATGAATTTAAACGCTGCAGCTGTCAGCAAGAGAATAACAAAGTGCTAAATTATGTAAAAAGTTGAAACTCGGAGTATTAAAAAAAATGCGTTGTTAGCCGAAGGAGAAACAAAACAAGTGAAGACGAGAAGAGAAATATTTGTGATATCGTATTTTATAAGTTTTAAAGCTAATGCAGACAAATGACAACAAAATACATATAGTTGGAGAGATATGCTGAATACTATGTACGGAAAATGCTACAAAAATACTACTACAACTACTAACTACTATCGCAGCAACACATCCACAAACACTCACACATTCAAACGCAAACAAACAATACAAAAGAAAAATAATACTAGCCATAATAGTGTTTACTGCTACGAAAGGTAACGAAAGCATATTCCTTTTTTTATTACAGTTTCAGAAAGTGCAAACGGAAAAAGATTACAAAAAAAAACATCACAATAGAGAGATTTGAATCAAAAATAATAGTTTTGCGAACAATTTTCTTTACCCTATTTAGTTTCTGTTTTTTGTCTCAAACGCATAGAGTGGTAGTCGTTTGGTCCGTATGGTTTTCGTTCCATTTTAAATGATTATTTAAATTATTTATTGCTATTTAATTGACGGACTCACATTTTTCGTTTTGTGAACAATAAATGAAGTGTAATAAGGAACATAACTGTTGGTTCTAGTGTTTAGAGCTTTTTGCTAATACGCAAAGAGGGAAAGCGTGCCGCAGACAAGAAAGGGACTGATACGAGCGAATATTAATGTTAAATATTGAAAGAGCAAACAAACGCCGATGTAAAGTAGAGGAGAAGCAAAGAGGTTTTTCTTTTCTGTAAATATTGATGCCCCTAGGGGACTGAATGCCTACAAATCCAAGCGATGGCAGACAAAACTATGTAAAAAGTATTAACGTTAAGGCGAAGCTAGGGAGGTGAAGACGGCAGACGGAAAAGCTAAAACAAAACTTATCATAAAACAAATGAAGCAGATTATTAGTAAGAAAATAATAAAAACAGAGCAAATCGTGTGACCAGACTGACTAATTAAAATGTTACACTTTACCTGTGTATAGAAAGGGAAAATCAGATTATAAATGACAAAAAAAAACAAAGAACACAACACATGAAATTAAAGCTTCTTTTCTGTGAGTCAAAAGCAAGAGCTACACAAAAACGTATATAGAAAATCGAACAAAAAAAATGAATAAAACGAAAAAATTAATTAATCAATATAAAACTACGTTCTTTTCATTCTTTATTTTAATTCCATTTGAGTTTTGGCATGTTGGTTTCCGTTCCGCTGGTTCGTTGTTGTTGTTTTCGGCGGATTGGTCCATCGGTTGGTATTTCCGCTTTGATCGTTTCGCCCGGTCTCTGCATTTGGTTTGATGGTTGTATTTTTCCTCCGATGTCATCTCTGTCTCTCTTCCCCAGTCGCTCTCGGTCTGTAACACATCGAAAATAATGAGTTCGGTTCGATTGAGAGCCCGGAAAGGAAGTTTACAGTGCGATCGGATCGGCAGAAGCCGGCCGGGGCCAAACCAAACCAGTCGCAGTCGTTGTAGCTATGTGCTGTTGTATGCTTGGATGGAAGTGAAATTAATGCTTTTGTTTTTCCGACGCTCGCTGGAAGTGAATGGTGGTGGCAGCAGTAACCTACACAGTGTTTCAGTTTTATGAGATGCAAAATTGGATTAATGGCGCTGCAGCAGCGCGTCTGTGCGGAATCGAACAGAACAGGTTGGTAGGTAGGTATGTAGGTAGGTATCGCGGTCGGGAGGTTTGTAGATGAGAGCAAACGATAATCGTTTGATTTCGTAATCATCTGCCAAGTCCGACGGAGATGGAATACCTATGGTTGGAACCGGTAAAGTTAGCGAAAAGTGATGGCTTTTTTTTTCTTCAAGTTGACGTGACCCGTTTTTTTTTTGGATGCGAATAATGTAGTAAGCGTATCTGATTGAAACATCGTCAAATAGGGCTGTTTGATACGCTTTTCACTCTAAAAAGTTACGATGCACACAATTTTTGAATTGGATGCGATTTAAATTTGCATAGTGGAAACGTGGAATGGGGATTTCCAATGCAGCGTTTTTTAAAAGCGGGAATGGAGATGTCTGTGGACTATGTAGACAATTGATGCCCTCCTCAAATTGAAGAGTTGGACTTTCATTTGAGTTCAGGAGAAAATGGACGACAATGTTCATACGTTTTATCATCAAATGAGGACAATGAGTTTTTATCAAAATTAAGAATTTTTCAATTACAATCATCATTCACTCTTTGTGTGCTTTTAAATTGGTACGTCTAAGTCCAAATTTGAAAGCACTTATCCTTTCTGACGGATACATCAATTTAAGCCTCTATAATTAAACAAAACTGGTTAAATTAAGGGGACGTGATTTGTCTAAAAAAAATGGAAAAAGCTATCTAAAATCTAAGAAAATTAATTTTTATCTATTTTTCCAACAAAAAATACATGTCAAAACATGTTTTCTGTGACACCATGGCACACAGTTATATTTTATATCTTTAATTTCATGGTGAGATAGAAAACATATTCACAATGGTATTTTTTATGATTTTCTTGATTGATGATTGATTCATTGATTGAAGAATCTGTGACTGTGCGATGTAATGCTAATTTCAAAATCATGAGTTAGATTCCTAAGATTCTGAGAAAAGAAAATTGTATTGGGCTGAAGAAAATTTGCAATTCTTGGACCTTAAAAAAGGAATAATTCAAACTTGAAGAAATTTTCAAGATTCTGGAACGAAGATTCTGGTGTCAGATCTTGAATTTTTTTCCATGATCCCAGATTTGAAAACAACCATGCAATTGAAGAAAATATTCATGATTCAGGAATATCATTGCATTTTAAAGGGAATCCTATTCTTAGAGAATGCTGACTGGAATTCCATTTTAGTGTTAGGGGAACTTCAAGCTTCCATGGTAATTCGGAGGACCTTTTGATTCATGATAAATGCTCAGAAGATTGCCAAAAGAAAGGAATAACAAAAGTATTCCAAGTGAATTCTGAGGAGGAATTCAACGGGAGATCAAAGATTGATTTCACGGGAGAAGAGATAAAAACTAAATGTATGCCAAGGAATATTGACAAGGAATTACGAGAAGAATTGCCAGTGGATTTTAATGAGAATTTTAAAAGAATTTTGATAAGATTTCCAAAGGAGTTGTGACTTAAATTTCAGGAGAATTATTAGGCGAATTCGATGGAAGTTTGGAGAATAAATCCGGATTAAATTGAAGGTGTATTCCAAATGAATTCTCTGGAGACTCCCAAAGGAATTCTTAAGAGAACCTGAAAGGGATTTCATAAAGTATTCCTATGCAATTGCTGTGAGAATTTCTTGGTAAATAAAAGTGAAATTCCATTAGAGTTCTGAAACATATTATGAGAATGAGATTTCAAAAGTAATTTAAGGATTAACTCCATACAAGCTTTGAAGGAATAAATACTTAGAAAATATTGAGGGAAATCCCACAAGAATCAGAAGAGTATTGAGGAAGATTTTAAGGTGATTATTCTTCAATTATTAGAAATTGGATGTGAATCGCAAGGTGAATTTCAAGAGTTTTTATTTTAATTTCTATAGTGTTTTAAGGAAATTTTTTTTGTGAATATTACCAAAGAAAGTTGGAGTTCCAAGATGGATTTCTTGGATTATTTCATAGAAAATCACGAAGGAGTCCAAGATAAAGCTGACTTCGAAAAAAAAAAAGATTCTGGGATCTAAGATCTTATATAAATATCCCGAAGATGATAGACATATTTTAATTGATGGAATTTTATTTTGCTAATATAAAATAAATGAAATGCAAAAGGCTTCTTGGCATTCTAGGGTTCTCAAGCTATGATAATTTTAAAGATATTGAACTCAATAACATTTTCCAAACTTTAGGGCACTGGGAATATTTGAGATCCGAGTTTTAAAACAAGTTCTAATAATTCCAAATTTGTACTCGTTTAAAATTTCAGACTTGCAGAATTTTTATTGAAGGCGCTGAGTCTTTGGAATTATTTTTCGTAGCAGATTTCTCTTCCTTTACAAAATGATCACTTTATTCAGGATTTTGTTTCCGCTATGTTGAAATCTTGTTACATCCTTGCTCGTAATAACCATTTTTAGAAGTTGTTTAAAATATGAAGCGAAAATCTACTTAATTTTACAAGTGTCTTCATATGTCTTCAAAAATCTTCAAAACACATAAAATGTCTTCAAAATGTCTACGGAATATAAAAGTCTACACGGAATTTCAAATGCCTTCAAAATGATGACATGTCTTCAAATTTGGCATTACTGACTCAGTGCGTTAGTGCCACATTGCGCCAGAGAAGTGATCAAAAATAGCCTTGAAGCAACACCTACTATGCGGTAGAACAAATCTCATTCATATGAAATAATTTGTCATTGTATTGAACTGTATTCAAATCCAGCATTTTGACGTAGAACTACGTTTTTGTCGACTATACTGGGGTGCAAATCAAAAAATATGAGTGGTGAAGGAGTGTTAGGTTTTGAACGCTTGTAACTTTGTCATTTATAGATGAAATTAAAATCCAAATACGCCAATTGATAGGATATTACATTACGAACCTTCTGAAATAAATATTCTTCCAATTTTTTTGCAATTAAACTTTTGAAAATGTCCAAATGATAATTTTATCACTGTTTTCATGAAATAAGCATTTTTCCCAAACCCAGCCATCATAAACGAATACCACTTGGTTGCACATCATTCTGCTTGAACCTGAAAAGATATAAATCAGCGCTGCTCTCCTGCCTCTGCTCATTACCGCTTCGGACGGCGTGGCACTAGGTCCTGCAGCAAGCAGGACCAAGTCAGCGGCTAAAGGTGGATCACGGCGTGTCCACCACAATCAGGAATGAGAATGACAAAATATGCATGTTACACCCCCCTCCCCCTTAACAAAAACCTCTCTCCCTCCCCCTTACCAATAACCAGAAAAAGACATGGACTTTGACGATCATTTTTTTTCCGGGAAATAAATTTTAAGCAAACTACAATTATGTATAAACAATTAATTTTATACATGGAGCGCCAACATTTTCAAAAAAACAATTGCTTAACAGGAGACATACACTCGATGGATTACCAACAACTGACTGTAAAACATATCTGGTACCTCTATATATGCAATTATATTAACATCCAAAGTCCTTCCTTTTTTACATATTCTGCACAAAAGTAACTTTTTGCCCCGCCCCATTCATAATAATAAGTTTAATAGTCAAAAATGTATGCCAAACATCAATTTTGCGTGGTTCTAGGTCATACTGCGGTCGTGTCTAGGACACAACCCTTTAATTTGTTTTATGGAATAGAAGAAATTTCACGCGTCCTAAACATTCATGTTTGGCAATTTTTTTTTGGACGACATTGAGGATAGCCAAAACTAATAATGAACCAGAACCTTTCATGCGGCAAATTAAATATCAAGAAATGACAGTCCTTGGAACGTAGTTTTGTTCATAATGGTTTAATATTTTGAACTTTCTACTCAGAATTTCCGGCAATGGATTATTGAACCATTTCTTGGATTTATATAGATAAATAAGAACGGATATTACAGTAGAAGGGATAATTTGGGATTCTTGACATTTCAGAAATTTAAATGCACATACTAAAAATTTATAGCTTTTTAAATCCTGATGAATCGAGATGTTTTGGCTGGACGCGATCTGGAGGTTATGAAACTCATATATGTTTTCTTGATGAATATCACACTGCTTGATATCGTTGAATAGGAATAAGTTCATGTTTTAGGAATAATGAAATATTTGTATCGTAAATCATATTTCAAACCTCTCCCTCTCCCCATCCATGAAAATGTAAATCTCCACTAACCTCGAGACGACCGTGAGTACTCTGTTCAATTCCTTAACTTTAGATTTAAGATATTAATAATGTATAACACAAATGATAATTTGGCTCTGTGATTACCTCTCACCCCAGCAGGCCTGGGTTCAATCCCAGTCGGCGCCGCCGGGATGTTCTGAGGCATAACATCTCTGATCACGCCTTCCTTCGGATGGGAAGTAAAGCCGTTGGTCCCCGGTTCATGAGTTGATGGGTCGATAGGTAGGGTCCAGGTGTGGGAGCTGCCTTCCTGACATGTTGGTAGCATTGGTGCTCAGTACGGAAAACAAGGTCGACGGAAAAAACAAACCAAAGGAAAAAAAAAAAAAAAG